CTTTCGGTGGCAGTGTAGTTGGAACTTTTCAACATTCGTGTACACGTGCTGAAATCAATAATTGCATGTTTGGTGTGCAGAATCCGACAGGAAGGGACAGTAAAATGAACAAGATTTTAGCCTCGTTTCTTCCTTAATACTGCACTACCTAATCCTCCCTACCAAACATGCCATAAGGTTCATATTTATCAAATATCATACTTCTGCTATTTGACTGTTTCTGTTGCAGTGTTTAATTGTGGTGCTATAGTTTAGTTTCATAGGAGTTAATCGTGTTGCAGCATATTATAGAAGGATATCAATGTTTTGTTAGATCACCTCCCTTTACTTTTTTTAATGATAATGTGACAGAATCTAGCAAATATAGCATTTGATTCAAAGGGAAAAAAATATAACAAAACACTTAAATTTTAACCATGTCCTTTGAGCATTTTGTTAGTGATTATTACATATAAAATATTTTTTGCAATTTCACATGGAAATCTTTTTCCTTGCTATACTTATTTATGAATTTCTGTAGGTATGCTGCTTTGAGGAGGCAGCTTCTAATTGACCCACAAGTTCTGAAGAATGGAAGTTGTTCTCCTGATGTTGTCATGGACAATCCACTGTCACAAAATCCAGGTAGGATTTCAACATTATCCGGGCAGTGTGCATCACCAAGACTTTTTTCATTCACTTTTGGCTTCATGAAAATCTCATAAAGCTGTTTCATTTTTTATCGTTATTACTCTTTTAAGTTTTCTTGACTGAGACTGTTCATGTTATTTCTTCGACTGTGTCAGTTCCAATCTTATTTAGAATCTTATGAGTGCTTATTATTAAGTCCACAAACTCATGTGGCAAGTTTAATTCTAAGTCATCTACGCTGTTATTTTTCGTTATGCAGATAGTATGTGGGGTCGCTTCTTCAGGAATGCTGAACTGGAGAGAATGGTCGACCAGGATTTGACACGTTTATATCCTGAACATGGTAGCTATTTCCAGACACCTGGATGCCAAGGCATGTTAAGACGAATTTTGTTACTTTGGTGCCTTAGACATCCAGTGTATGGTTACAAACAAGGCAGGTTGAATTGTTTTTCTTTCAGTTTCGTTTTCACCGTCTGCTGCTACTGTTTTCATCAATTAACAATCTTGCCCAACTTCATGTCTTTGTATTCCTATATTATTGTTGCCATAAACTCCATTTAGGCTTAATGAATAGTATATTAAGCAATGCATCAACGTGATGCAAACATATACCTTCTGCCTTCAGGACATATATTCTGTATTGTTTCACAAAATGAATTTTAGAAATACTAGAACATTTAATTTATTTTTACTAATGGTCATCACAATCGAGTTGATTGCATTATTCCCTAAAAATCTCCCGTGTATTAATGATCAATGCTTAACAATGCACATGCAGGATAACCTTGTCAAAAGTTTCAAAAATGATTAATTTTCTCTGCTTTCTGTACTTATAGCATTATTTATGCTGTCGTTCATAGGGATGCACGAACTCTTGGCACCTCTGCTGTATGTTCTTCATATTGATTTGGAGCTTCTGACTGATGTGAGAAAAGTTTATGAAGACCACTTCATGGACATAATTGATGGCTTCTCATTTCATGAAAATGACTGGACGCATAAGTTTGATTTTAAGAAATTACCCGAGTACATGGAAGATTGTAATGGATCCGAAAGCCCTGTGAAAATTAACAGTCTTGGTGAACTTGAACCAAAGATACAAACCATTGTTTTGCTAACTGATGCCTATGGGGCTGAAGGCGAACTTGGTGTTGTCATATCCGAGAAATTTTTGGAACACGACGCGTATTGTATGTTTGATGCTTTAATGAATGGGACTGGTGGTGCTGTTGCCATGGCAAAAATTTTCTCTCCATCTCCTTTTGGGGGTTCTCATACTATGTTCCCCCCTATAATTGAATCTCCTGCCGCATTATATCATCTTCTTTCCATTATTGATTCGTCTCTTCATAGTCACCTCGTTGAACTCGGAGTTGAGCCCCAGTATTTCGCTCTTCGCTGGCTACGGGTCCTATTCAGGCGTGAATTTGCACTTGAAGACCTTCTCGTAATCTGGGATGAAATTTTTGCATGTGAAAATATGAAGTTCAATAAATCTGATACTAATGATGCCGAGTCCAACGTTGGATTCCTCAATTCATCCAGGGGAGCACTCATTTCCGCTTTTGCAGTTTCAATGATACTTCAATTGAGATCTTCGTTGCTTGCCACCGAGAATGCTACTTCCTGTCTTCAAAGGCTGTTGAATTTTCCAGACGATGTAAGTCTTCTCGAACTGCTGGCTAAGGCGAAATCATTGCAGCCTCTAGCGGTAGATGCGATCAACTCAACCTCACTCCTGATTCTTCCCGGGTTGCATGGAAGACGTAAGTTGGGATTTACTAAGGGTCATAGTCTTTCTTTAGATTTAACTTCTCCAAGAAATACACTGAATATGGTACATGAGAGCTACTGGGAAGAGAGGTGGAGAGTTCTTCACATGGAAGAAGAAAGAAAGCAAGGCTCTGCTGCCTCTGCAGAAAAACAAGTTCCTAACCGCAAAAAAGGTTGGTCAGAGAGGGTAAGATTACGCCTGTCTAGAGCTGGATGCGATCCATCCCGATCTAAGGCCACTTTCAGAAAGAAGGATGTGAGAGATGAAGGTAGGAAAAATATTGGGGGTGATGAAGATTTTGGCCACAAGATTCCAGTTGAGGTCGATGAACAAGACGTTAAGGATAATAACTTCAGTACATCTGAGACAAGATGCTCGAGTGGATGTCGTGGGAATGAAGAGAACTCATCCAATATCTCAGATTTATCAACTCTTGTTAGAGGGACTAATGATCATGTGAACATGTCGGGAAGAAGTAGTGTTGCATCAAACTTTTCTGCTGAGGAAAATTATACCGACTCTGTTAATTTTGAGCCATCGCGGTCTAATCCAGAATCTTCACCTCTTCTGGTCTCAGATTTGGACAGGAGAGGGACTAATGATCGTCTGAACATGTCGGGAAGAAGTAGCGTTGCATCAAACTTTTCGGCTGAGGAAAATGATACCTACTCTGTTAATTTTGAGCCATCGCGGGCTAATCCAGAATCTTCACCTCTTCTGGTCTCAGATTTGGACCCAAATGACTACACTTTAAACTCTACGCAGAATGACAATTCCGTTGTAAAACAAGCTGCAGGCATTAAGGAGCTAAACCTTCTATCTGGTAAGTTTCAATTGTTCTGGAAGTTTGGGCGCAACGTCAATGAGGGAACGTCTGATAGAGCTGCTGTATCTGAAGATGCAAAAGCTTATGACAGTGTAAGTGGTCATAACAATTTAGCTGGCTCTTCTATAGCTAATGGGTGTAATAGCACTTCTGGGATAAGCAAGGTGGAGATTATTGACCAGAATTTGATGGTTAGCTTGAGTGATCTTGGGCAATCCATGCTTGAGAACATCCAGGTACTCGTAAGGTTTAAAACTTCTACATTAACTAACTTTTTGTTTCCATAATGTGTGCATTACTTATTTTCTTCTACCTAAGTAAAAAAGGATATCTTACTGTCTAAACAAGTGATTTATCTCCAACTTCATTCAATAAAAATTAAGCTTAAACAAATATGCGTCAGGCGATATTGTCGTAACTTCCACTAGAACATGCTATCGAATCCTAATAAAGATGATTCTTTGACGATTAATGTGCAAAAGCTTGATAAAAACAAGTTGTTGGAAATTTGTAAATAAAAGCACTATAAATTGGTTTAGTAGTAGAAGTTGAATAAAAGAGGTATACTAGGATTCCAGCTTTCTGTGTTATTATGCATAAACTAAGCTTTCTGCATATAAAGTTGTCTATTGCGCCACATCAAACTAAGATAACCCCTTTGGCTTCCAGATAGCAAGGTTTTGTTTTCTTTATAAATGTGTCAATAGACGATTCAAAGTGGTCTGGTGTTAAAAAGTCGCAATTCTGCAGAAAAAGGTTGTCAGTGACCAGGTCTAGATTCTGTATATTGTCCTTTCTGTTCTTTGTAGGAATAGAACCTTAATTAAGGTTTTTTTTTTTTAGTTCCCCATCATCACTATGTGTGCATCCAAATGATCTTTGATAATGTATCCAATCTAGAATGTTGCAATCCTTATTTGTTAAAGGATCGAAAGCAATCCTTCATTTTCCCGTCCTTTACTAGTAGGGATCATGAACGACCTTGATATATTTCTTTCCAAGTTTGGCACAATCAATTCATTTTCTCCTGTAGGTCATGCTGCTTATTGAGCAAATCTTGAGCATTGCCTATCATTTGCATTGCAGGTTATAGAGTCGGTTTTCCAGCAGGATCTGGATCAAGTGGGATCGTTGGAGAACTGTAAAAATGGCATTGTTGGCAAAGGACAAGTTACAGCCATGACGGCCCTTGAAGAGCTTCGAAAAATTAGCAATATTTTGTCTGAGATGTGAAATCTACGTTTTCACATCAAGTGTGTGCATACATTTTGTTATTATTTATTTCCTTGAATGGCAGGAAAAATGGTTCTGCTGTTGTGTATATATACATCTTTCTTCGTTAAATTTTGATATGTATCATAGACAGACTTGTAAATAGATATTGTGATGGATGGTTTAATCTTATTCATAAGAAGGCAATTATCAGATCATGCCTGCAGACTATCCTTGAAAAAAATTGGAAAAAAAAAAAACAAGGAAAGGCATTTGCAATCAAGTATGTTCACAGAGACAGAGTTAATCCGAAGACAGAAATTCCCCATTATCGAATAGCAATTCTGTAGCAACAACATATTACTAACATAACCTCAAAAACCAAATTGCATAAAGACCAGATCCATGTTAATTGATTCACACTCGTTAATGGAAACAGATATAGGGAATGTAAGAATCATAACCATGAGAACTTATACGATCTTCTATAACCACGCCTCTTTCTCAGTGCCCAGGTTGATCCACGGATCATCAAGTCTAATATCTATTTACAGTCTAATCTATGTTGTGAAAGCCCGGGAGAAGTGAAGTGATGAACCCGAAGACGATCATTTGGATCTCCTTCAAAATTCCCCACCAGCGGCGATTCCCAACATCACCTTCAGCATGTTCCACTTCATGTTCATTCTCAAATGCCCTATTTCCATCGTTGGCTTGCAGATTCTCATTCTGACCTTCAGGTTGCCCCCCTAACATGTCAAAGATCAACTATTGCTAGAAAACTTTTACTGTGAATCACAGAAAGATTTCGAAAGATACCAAAATGAAGTTACGGAAATATTTAGGAAAAAATAGAGCACGGGAGGAGAGAGGTGAATACAGGCACATGTTTTGCAAGTGTGTGGTCTATGACAGTGTTATTAGCCATTAAATTTCTACTTCCAGTGAAAAGAGTTTCCTACTGATTAGAAATATTCCAGAACTAAATTAAGATTAAGAATAACCAGCTAGTGGAAAACGAAAGTTCCATTCCAAATCAATCTTCCATTTCTCTTTCGTAAGGGCGACGGACAAAGGAAAAAGAAGTGTTGAATTGATAATATCACACACAAAAAGAACAATCCTGTGATTCAATTGCGTAATATAAATGACACACAAGAAACTAGTGCATACAACCTACAGGTTAAAACGATGTAGGTAATCCTAGCTTCTGAGGAAACTGCTGGCTGCAATTGCTTATTAAATCCTAATTTAATAAGGAAACAAATTTCCATCTGGATTTTTAATTGAAAAATGCATTCATTAAGCCTCCATTTGGGAAGAATTTATAAGCTGTTTAATGTTATAAATAGATAGAATGAGTGGTGGATAAGTGGATGATACTTATAAATCCATTGGAATGTGTGATTGAAAATGAAATTTGACAATTTATGATCGATTTATAAATTTATCCAAACGAAGGCTATATGTCCGAAATTTGGTACCTCGTAAAATACGATGGATAAAAGTGCTAGTGTTGGTCCAATGAGAATTGACCAATCAAACATACCAACAAAAGTAGAAGGGTTCCACATCTACTTCTTAGTTGCTTTTATGATTCTTATGCATTATCAAGGTCTTTAACAATCAAGAAAAATTTCTTCCGAGTAATCATATCAGCAACATAAGTAACAATGATGAATATACCTGCAGCCTCATTTGCTTCCCTTTCAGCAGCTGGAACATTCTCTGCCCTGATAGCTTGCCTGCGTGGTTCGGGAGGTGCAGCTGCCCTCTGCATTCCTTGTGAAAGCCATCGTACTAATGGTGCAAGAACTCCAGTTTGATAACTGCATTACCCAACAACAAAAAACTCGATTTGTGTGATATAAAAATACAGATAAAGAGGAACAGGCATACTCAAAGAACTTATACTGGGCACTTGGTGTAGTGGGGCTGAATGGGATGACAGAAAATAAGAAATTATGATCGAGTTCTTACAAATAAACAAGTGAAGCAAAAATCACAAGGAGAGTAAGCCTTTGTCTTGATCCATCTTGGCTAAACAAGAAAATCACAGCTGCCAGCTTTAAGATAAGCGGTATATCAAGATGAAATACAATTTGAAATCTTCGCACAATAACTTGTCCCTGGGGTCCAAGCTGTTGTTGTTGCTGGTTCTGTGGTTGCTCACCTACTTGTCCTTGCACATCACCCGCTGCTCCAGTCTCTGGAGAACTGCGTTCACTGATTATAACACGTGCACCCGGAGTCCAAATTAGATGTGAAAAAAAATTGAAGCTCTTTTTACACTAAAGTCTTCAGTTTAGTTGAGCAGTGGAAAGCTAACGGATGCAGCCCAGCAATCAACATGAAACAATATGATATCTTCTGACATGATTTAAGGAGATCACGAGAAATGTGAGAATTAAGTCCATGAGACTAAAGGTTACAGCACACTCCACATGAAAATATGACTTACTGGAGAAAAAAAGTATTGTTGCCAATCTCAAGCATGTATTATGATCAATGCTTATTCAGTTACAATAAAAAACATAAACTTTATATCACATTATATAATCTATGAACTTTATACGCAAGATAAGGAGAACAGTAAAATTTGCAACTGTTGACTTTCGGTACAAAAGTGGGATATTGTGTACTGGCAAGGATTATTTGACCTCCTAATGCTCCCCGATGAATTATAGAAGATAATTTCATATCTATCTATAATAACAAATAAAATGGTTAGCATCCAAAGTAATGCCAGTGCAGCAATACTTACACAGGTACATTGTAGGTAAATGGAATAAGAGTATTGGAAGTAAATCCTGTAATAGGCTGCGCGACTGGTAGAACAGGAACAGCATAAAGGCCAGGTCCATGATTCATATGTTCCTGGTCCTGCTGGGAATATAACTGAGGAACAAGTGCAGGGTACATGAACGGGAACATCTGAACATCACCATTAGGTGATTGTAAGCCATGGAATGCTCGTACCTGTAGGAACAAATGCAAGGAATCAGCACACAACAATTAAAATCAGGAAACTGTTCCATTGACTCGTACTACAGAAATTTATATGCATTCTTCGATAACTTGCCAGTTGCCACAATAAGTTATTTCTACAAGTATCGCTAATACCATTTACAGAGCCAGAACAAACGTAACACTTGCATGATTGTGAAAGTTTAGCCTTCCCCTTATTTACCATCATCGTATTCAAAATAAGCCCAAACAGATTTTGAAACCTATTCTACTATTGCCTGTTCAGATAATATTTCTAAACTTGTAGTATCCATTATTCAAGCCAAACCAGACTGGCTGGTTCGCTCTGAAAACCAGTCACCCATGACCCCCATATATGAAGCCAGTTAGGGTTGCTCAATTGGATAACCGACCAAAAACAGTCCAACACTGACAGTTTTCTAAATAAACCAGAGTTTTTTTCTGGCAGCTCCAATATGAATCCAGATTGCTGTGCACAAGATTCGAAGATGGGACCTTGAGGTTAATTGAGCAGACTTGTTTTGACCGAGTCACTTTTCCTTCTATGTTATAAAGTTATCTAACAAATAACTTATATATTTATTTTGAAACGGTTCATGGTAAATTTCGAACATATTTTGTACATTTATAATCTTTTGAATTATTTAGTAGCTTTATCTTGAGGCTTACGGTCACGCCTCACCTCAAAATAGCAAAACTCCTCAATACCTAATTGAGTATTTATAAACATTGCTTATGCATGGTGTTTCTATTTAGATAGATATTTTTTAGACTTCCAACTGGTTGAATCAATGTCTCGCTAACCCAGCTTTGCCTAGGTCGGAGACTGGACCAAATCGAATAACTATGGTTGTATGGATGATAACAAGTTACCAACGAGTGTTCGCTCCTTCAAAATAATATAGACATGATTCATGTCGAGAAATTCAAGATTTGAGCCTGTACAAAATATACTATGGGATTGGAAAACAAATCCTTTACAAGCATCTCCTTTCACGCATAAAAAGGAATCCACAATAATAGATATTTCATCGTGCTATATGGTTTACCAACTAGAAAAACCATTTTGAGTTCGCATTAACATTTCCTACTAGGGCATTTCTATGTAGCAAGAAACTCTGTTCGAAAATCTTCCAAGAAGTCACTTCTGTGTTATGATGAAGTTATAGAACACATGCCTTCAAAACAAGGCAATGCATAAAAGGCATTTTCTATTAACAGCTGATCTTTAATATCATCTTTATAGTAATTAATGAATATACATTTTTGGCACTTCCCCTTAATAACGCAACTTCATGTAGCAAAGATACAGAATTTGGACAAAACGACTCGTGCAGTCCTCCCGGATCAAAGAATTTTCATGTCCTTTTACTGCTAAAATAAGTATACTCCACAATGATCAATAAAGAAAAATGATTTTTTTTAAAAGATAATACAACTCAGAAACTGTCTTTTATTAGAAATATATACTTCTTATAAATTGAAGATAGGATTCCAGGCATTGCCCTGTACAACACTTGTTCCTCCACTCTATTCTACAGAAGGAAAATGTTCTAAAAAAAAAAGGCAATAATAGAATAATATATTTCAATAGTACGAACCATTGTTTTGTACATGTTCACCATAGAGCACAACCGAAGTAAATCAATTTTGTCTAATCCCCTATTCATGGAAAGAATGCTAGAAAACCTTCAAAATTCAATCAGTTCAAAAATCCAACAAAACCTTATTTTCTTAAATTCGACAAATTATAAAGCCATGTGAACAAAAGCATCCATCATATAATGCCCAGAACACCCAAATGCATTTTTAGTAAGATCCCACATCCACAACCCAATTAATTTTTTTTTCAAAATTATACTATAATTTGAAAGGAAATCTACAAAAAAAAAGTCAAACTATCAAAATAAAACCTAAATAATCACGACTTTTAATTATATTCACTGCGATCCAACAAGAAAATGGGAAAAAAAAAAATCCATTTCAAACACAATAGAATTATCCATCTGATGCACTCCATTTATAACTGTAAAAATGCATAAAAGAGCTAGAAATTAAATAGTAATTCGATTCTCCTCTAAAAAAGATAGCGACAAAATAAAGGAAACGGAGACACCGACCTGGGTTTGCTTATTTAGAGACTCTACTTCTTCAGAAGATTTATTATGATCGGAAGTAGAGCTGGAGGTCTGGGTACCGGGCAATTCCGCCATTGGAGATTCTAGGTAACGGGCTCCTAGATGTAAAAGATTTGGGGTTCTTTAACAAAGCTTTTAATAAAACTTTGGCGGTATAAAATAATTGATGAATGTACGGTTAAAAAGGTTGGTAAAAACTAAAAACTAACGGAGCGGATGAAATGTTACTTAAAATTAATTTTAAATAAAAAGTCTATTTTATTTATATTTATATGCCCATTTTAAGAGTGCAAATACATTTTTGAATAGTGATTTTTGAAAAATGTATAATTAAAATTTAAGAAATTTTTTACGATTTACGTATAATATTATTTTATTAAAAAATGTGCAGTTGAAAATAAGTTTTGAAAAAAAAAAAATTTAAAAATAAGTTATGTATACGCATGTGTATTATTAATCTTCTTTGCTATTCATTTATTTTCTCTTGAGATCTTTGTACGTGTCGATATATGTTCAGTTCAAAAATATCTCGCCACAAAATATAAAATTTAAAGGAAACTAGCTTCTTTTTTTATTGTTGTGCGGATTTTCATTTTCTTTTGTCCTTTTTTCAAGGATAAAATAGCACCTCGACTCTTCATGTAATGATCGTGTTAGATTTGAAATCGCGATTCACGATTGATGAACCCGGTGGATTTTTTTATGTGGAATAACTCCAGCAAGAGAATTTTGTAATAGTCAAAGTCGGATGTGAATCTCTACGAAGTTGTTCTAAATGCTTCTATTTTGTCTAATATTTACTTAGTTATCTAATTTCACTTCAAATCCCATAATAGTTACAATCAATCATTTTATGCATTCGATTCAATAAGCAGAAAAACTACCAGTAACATATAAAACGTCTATCATCAACTCCAACTATTTCAATTAAAAATGAAATTCGTAGCTGAAGAAGGCCAACCACGGGCAGAACTAAACGATGTCATTTTATCCTCTGCCAATAAATGCAATCGCGTTCCCAAATTCAGCATGGCCTCCGATGCCGAATTCTTAACCATCTCAATCAAACCTTGGCGCATGATGCCATCGCTGTTGGGAGGAGGAACCCAGTAGGAATAACCAGGTAGAAACGGGAGCCAATCGGGCGCAGAACGATGGAGAACGATTTTGTCAATGGCCTCCTCGAGTTTCGTAATTCCGACGCTCGTGACATCCGCGTCGACCTCGTGGGAAGAAGATGGTTCCACCTCCACCTCGATAAACTCTACCTGGGTTTTACCGGATTGATCGGAGCAATGGGGGGTGGGGAATTAGGCCCCGAGGGGTTACGCGAGGGTGAAGGGTTGAGCGTCAGTTCCCGGGAGAGGAATCGTATTATCGCCATTGAATATGTTATGTTACAGGAATGGATGCAGGATCGAATTTAATACCTAAAAGAAAATAAAATTACAATTTACACATGATTATTTTTTAACATAATTTTTTTTTTCATCTAAAAAAATCCAGTGGATTGGGAACTAGCCCGACCCAAATCCCCCCTCTCCCCCCATCCGTCCATGCATACAAGTGATAGGGGTGGCAGGGTGTGGTGCATACATAGGTTTTTGGAGATGGGGGTCAAGGTACAAGGGTTTAACCATGGAGCTGGAAAATTAAAAAATATATATATATAGAAAATGATTCTTGTACTCCTCGATTGTACGCCCGAATTTACACCCCACATGGAGGGAGGTCCACGTACAATAAATTTACTCCACGTGGGGTGTAACCATGTAAACCTGGGTGTACATCCTTACAGACGTGTAACATCTTCCTGAAAAATTAGAGGCGCTTGAATTGCAAGTCAAAAGGGTATGCTTACCAAATAGCTTGTAAAAATTAAAAATAATAATAATAAATAAATAAACGTTTAATTTTATATAGCTAAAAATAAGTGGTAAATATTATTTATAAATTTATTATAATTATGATTAAAATGAAGTTGGATTATTTACAAATAATTTATAAATTTTGTTAAACGGAAGCTTAACCTTCAAATTGCAATTAAAATTTTTTTTAGGATTTTCAGTCTCCAAACTTATCAATTTTATGGTATTTATATTCTTAACTTTAGGTAAATTATATAAACCATGAAGGTTGATAATTGAATAATGATATTTTTCTAAAACTAGTCAACGTTTAATGAAATATTTTATAACTGTTGTAATATGTGAGAGAGGTGTAAAAGATTGTATAAAAGTGTGTGTGTACATGTAGCATTACCCTAAAATAATTGATGAATGCACGGTTAAAAAGGTTGGTAAAATCTAAAAACTAACGGAGCGGATGAAATGTTACTTTAAAAAGTCTATTTTATTTATATTTATATGCCCATTTTAAGAGTGCAAATGCATTTTTGAATAGTAATTTTTGGAAAATGTATGATTAAAATTTAAGAATTTTTTTATGATTTACGTATAATATTATTTAATTGAAAAATGTACAATTGAAAATAAGTTTTGAAAAAAATTAGGCTCAAACAAGTTATGTATACGCATGTGTATTATTAATCGTCTTTGCTATTCATTTATTTTCTCTTAGAGATCTTTGTACGTGTCGATATATGTTCAGTTCAATAATGTCTCGCCACAAAATATAAAATTTAAAGGAAACTAGCTTCTTTTTTTTATATGTTTTGTGGATTTTCATTTTCTTTTTCCTTTCTTCAAGGATAAAATAGCACCTCGGCTCCTTCTCATGTAATGATCATGTTAGATTTGAAATCGCGATTCACGAATGATGAACCCCGGTGGATTTTTTTATGTGGAATAACTCCAGCAAGAGAATTTTGTAATAGTCGAAGTCGGATGTGAATCTCTACGAAGTTGTTCTAAATGCTTCTATTTTGTCTAATATTTACCTAGTTATCTAATTTCACTTCAAATCCCATAATAGTTACAATCAATCATTTTATGCATTTGATTCAATAAGCAGAAAAACTACCAGCAACATATAAAACGTCTATCATCAACTCCAACTACTTCAGTTAAAAATGAAATTCGTAGCTGAAGAAGGCCAACCACGGGCAGAACTAAACGATGTCATTTTATCCTCTGCCAATAAATGCAATCGCGTTCCCAAATTCAGCATGGCCTCCAATGCCGAATTCTTAACCACCTCAATCAAACCTTGGCGCATGATTCCATCGCTGTTGGGAGGAGGAACCCAGTAGGAATAACCAGGTAGAAACGGGAGCCAATCGGGCGCAGAACGATGGAGAACGATTTTGTGAATGGCCTCCTCGAGTTTCGTAATTCCGACGCTTGTGACATCCGCGGCGACCTCGTGGGAAGAAGATGGTTCCACCTCCACCTCGATAAACTCTACCTGGGTTTTACCGGATTGATGGGAGCAATGGGGGTGGGGAATTAGGCCCTGAGGGGTTACGCGAGGGTGAAGGGTTGAGCGTCAGTTCCCGGGAGAGGAATCGTATTATCGCCATTGAATATGTTATGTTACAGCAATGGATGCAGGATCGAATTTAATACCTAAAAGAAAATAAAATTACAATTTACACGTGATTATTTTTTTACATAATTTTTTTTTTCTATCTAAAAAAATCCAGTGGATTGGGAACTAGATCGGGCTACAGCCCGACCCAAATCCTCCCTCTCCCCCATCCGTCCCTGCATACAAGTGATAGGGGTGGCAGGGTGTGGTGCATACATAGGTTTTTGGAGACGGTGGTCAAGGTACAAGGGTTTAACCATGGAGCTGGAAATTAAAAAAAAGAAAAATAGAAAATGATTTTTGTACTCCTCGATTGTACGCCCGAATTTACACCCCACATGGAGGGAGGACCGCGTACAGTAAATTTACTCCACGTGGGGTGTAACCATGTAAACCTGGGTGTACATCCTTACAGACGTGTAACATCTTCTTGAAAAATTAGAGGCGCCTGAATTGCAAGTCAAAAGGGTATGCTTACCAAATAGCTTGTAAAAATGAAAAAAAATAATAATAAATAAATAAACTTTTCATTTTAAATAGCTAAAAATAAGTGGTAAATATTATTTATAAATTTATTATAATTATGATTAAAATGAAGTTGGATTATTTACAAATAATTTATAAATTTTGTTAAACGGAAGCTTAACCTTCAAATTACAATTAAAATTTTTTTAGGATTTTCAGTCTCCAAACTTATCAATTTTATGGTATTTATATTCTTAACTTTAGGTAAATTATATAAACCATGAAGGTTGATAATTGAATAATGATATTTTTCTAAAACTAGTCAACGTTTGATGAAATATTTTATAACTGTTGTAAAAGTAATATTTGAATATGAGTGAATGTTAATTAATTTAGAATTAATACCATGAAATATATACGTAATAATGAATGTTAAATCATTTATTTAATTTTCGATTTAAGTAAAACTGGATATTAAATATCATACATGGATGTGAATAATGAAATGCATTCAAAATATTTGTGACTTTCACAAAATATATGGACAAAAAATGATTTAATAGATTATAAACGGATGTTAGACAATGACTAACTATACATTCAAAAATGCATGGGAAGTTGGTAATTCTTAGACTCTCAATATTTTTTATTATTATAAAATTTGTGTAACCAGTAACGACACGAAGTGTAAAGAGTTGAGCTATAAGTACGGGGAATTTTTATCGAATTTTTACAGATTTTTGAGATCAACAGTGCAAATTCAAACTTTGAGAAAAAATAAAAAAATACAGATGGACAGGATGCTGCCAGTAACATTTCTGGAAAATTCTCTGTACTTAGGGAATTTTCCAAGTGTAAATGTAGATAAATTCAATTTTTAATTAGTAAAACACTTCATCGTATCTAGAGAATCCCTTCAATTAACCAATAATATAACACAAAATCAAGAAGAAGAAAAAGCATTAGTAACAATATTTTTTTTCTCAAAACTGAATCTCTCTCGAATTAATATTCATCTAAAAGACTATAAAATATAGATAAATACCAAGATGACAAAGAAAGTATGTTTTGCAACTCTTGTGCTCCCTAGTCCTTTGTTGTATACTCTGCTTCCCTAGGAGAATCATAGAAAAAAACGACAAAAAAAGGCTAAAATTTTAAACTACAAAAACGTAGGCAAAAAGAGACTAAATGGCTTGTGTTTCCCCATTTCACTGCTCACTCTCTGGAGAATTTGGCGTTCTAACAAAGCGTCCCTGCGACATAATAAACAATATCGTTAGATGCCATGGTATACATTACGTGCTACGTTGCCCAAAAAAAAAAAAAAGGAATTGGGAAGTGACCCTATAATAAATGTTAATAATAAGTCATGTTTGGCCCTCATTAAATTATAATTCGTTTTTTTCCCTTTTTATAAACTACATATTCTCAAATAAAATAATATTACACGTAAACTCAATTTTTTCCCCTTTTTAACAACACATTCTCCAAAAAAGAAAAAGAAGGAAGTAACAAGTCTCATCACGCCTTACAGAAATATAAGCAATTTTTATCCCTCAAAATTAAATAAAATTGATCATTGTATTTCAGATAATTTTCGTGATTGGTCCCCTGCAACACCAAATCATAGAATGCCCTATGTACTTCTATCTCCGATTGATAACCAAACTACTTGGACATACCTTCATTCTAGGTCGTCGATCAGCATTGACTTTTCTGACTTCATATCTGATCTTCTTAGAGAAAAGACGTGTACGTCGTTTTTCCTTATAGCGTAACACACTAACATCTCTCACACTACCAATCTCAGAGAACAAGTCTATTTGAGCCAATCGAGCCTGCACCCGTTCGAACGAACAATAATTATTCAGTGCTAAGCAAATATAGAAAGGAATTTATAATTACGAGTCAAAACCTGAATTTATAATTTTGGAAAAAATAAAAATAAAATGTGGCGCGTGAAGTGCACGTTTGACACAACAAAAATGGAAAGATATTGCTTCTAGTAGTAACTTAACTAGAATAACAGAAACAGAGTTCAAATCCGGTAAACGCGATATTTCATGGCGGGAGATTAAAAGAGGAGCATACTTGAATATCATTGCCGGGGGAGTCGGGTCCCGGAGCTTCACCGGAAAACGGCGACCCCTTATCGGACCACTCATTCAAAACTTTGTCGTAGTTCAATTTTAGGAGCAACCCTGCATTTGGTTTGGGAATTGCCTCGTCTTTAGAAGGTTTATTAGCTGAGTTCTGCTCGCTGGTTCCATTGGAAATCGCATACTCCTTCACTAATTCGGAATTTTCAATCTCCAATGGCTTTTCAACCTTCTTTTTCTTCTTTTCCGTGGGATTTTTACCCATTTTTGGATTGATATCAAGAACATTGACACTAGGGAACCTCCACCAATCTCCCTCGTCAACATTTCTCATTGCCTTCACTTCACTTCTCACGCCAAAACCAAAATCAGATGCATCTTCAAATCCTAGGCCTATTGGATAACCATAAACAAAATTATTCGCTTGGCTAATATAAGCATTGGAATCATCTACCAACTCATTTTCAGTCCTTAGATTTCCCATTATACTATCAATACCACCGTCAACTTCCTCATCTAGTATCGATTCTGCATCGAAATCTTCTTGAAGCTCGTCGCAGAATTCCACTGAATCCACTCTAGAATTAGCACCTTTGGACTTAATTGGCAAGGTGGGCCTTTCTTGTATTGGTGGATGCATCAAGTAGCCAGAATTATCGATTAAAACCAAGTCCAGGGGCTCGAATGGAAATGCAATATCATTGTTCCTACTATGTGGTTTGTTAAATTTGCAAGGGTTCGTGAATTTGTTGGAGAATAATTTAGGGTAGGCTGTGGAAAGAATTGCGGCAGCCTCATTATATGTTTGGTTAGGCCTTTTTCGAGGGGTTCGAGGTTTTCTTGTGGAGATTGCAAGAGGGGAATTGCTGGATTCAGAGAGAGTTGAAGATGGAGAAGATGAATTTGAAGTCCAAGACGTTGATGGAGATTTAATAATCTCAAGATCTAATCTATATGCTCTTCCACCTCCACTTAAAAAGGACGACATTTGTAACTTCAATCAAGAAAATCCTTTCAACAATATGAAAATAAATAAATATATATATAATTCTAACTATTACAAGAAAACCAAGTATTTTTTTTAAAAAATGCAGCAGCCACGACATAGTAATTCCTAGTCATCTCGACTCAAGACTCAATTTGAGTTCAAGAACTTAACCAGATGTTTTCAGATAAAGCTCCAATCAGTCAAGAAATGTCAAAAGAAAAGTACCAATTGGACTGAGGCTTCTGGGATTGGAGTTGATGAAGTACTACAGAACCCTGAACCCTGAAAAGTACTTTGGAATTAAGCAAACTTTTTAATTGATTAAAAGCTGGAAAAAAAATGTCAAAACAAGCCAAAAATAAAGAACCCTTCAAAACCCAGAAAGGAAAAGAAAAGAAATTTAGTAGTTCAGACATACAAAATCTTTAAAACAATCTTGAAATCATCGTAAGTGTGAAAATCCCAGAATTCACCCTTTTTTGTCTACCTGCAGTAGGTGTTTCAAGAGCCAAATGAATGAAGAACAGGAAACACAGAAATAAGATTTCATAACATGGGATTTGTTTGAAGAATTGTGTATCTGAGAATGGAAAGATGTCTGGTACAAGGAATTCAAGAAGTCTCAATTCTTCGGGCACATATATATACATATAAATAAATACACAGAGAGAGAGGGAGAGTGAGGGAGAGGTGTGTTCTGCACAGTAAGTCACGGGATATAATAACAGAAGATATATACACACACACTCTCTCTCTCTCTATATTTTCTGTTCCTTTGTCTCTCTGAATGGATGAATGAATGAGAGGAGGAGATGACAGAGGGAAGGGGACCAGAAGTGGACCACATTTTGTTACTCTTTCTACTTGTCTGTGCAGTTTTACCAGTTCAATTACGCTACTACTAATATCATAGTTTTTTTACTAAAACATCCTTACCTTTTTTTTTCCGTTGATTATCTGTTTGGCCTAACTTGGATGGGTTTTGCTATTTGTACATCGAAGTAGACACTTAGATGTATATACCTTCTTCACAATAGAAGAAAGCCCACGACTAATAAAAAAATAGTGAACTCTATTATTGTGAGGGGACTGTACATCAAGGTACGTAGAAAAACCCAACTTGGATTTACTTATACATAAATGATTTTTATTAGTCAAAGTAAAAAAAAAAAAAGTAGGTTATCTATTTTGAAAGTACTTTAAAAATAACTGTTTTACTTAAAAGTAATAAAAAAAATAATTAAGTAATGGAGAAAGTTATTATTTATTTTATTTTATTTTATTTTTGTCATATCTCAATTGAAACTTTTGAATTTTTTTCTTCAATTTAGCTATATATTATTATTTTTAGGTATGTATTAAAAAATAAAAATAGAAAAAGGTATGTTTTATATTTAAACAATCGCTTTCAAAAATCTTTAAGGAGGGAAAAATCTTTTTGTGAATTATATATATCAGGAAATATTAATTTTTTTAAAAAAAACCTTTGACTCGTATTTTTTATGAGTTACGCAAAAATCTCGAAAAGAAAAACTCTCAGTGGCATTATTTTATTTCATATTCAAGTATAGGGGCATTTTGGTAACTATGCCTTTATATAACCATAATCATGGACTTGCATGAATTTCCATAATCTAGTTCTATGTTAAGTATGCAACAAGTACCGATTGCAAGAATTTCATTGATGGTAATGTGTTTCTTATCTGCTGACATGACATAAGTATATTGGCTAAGTGAGATTTTTAGGGATGACGTGGACTATGTTCATTGGTTGGTGGATTTTCGCATGTATCTAGAAAAATGGTGGTGGATTTTGTATCTAATAAGATGAGGCCATAAGGACAATGATTTGAACCTTTTTTGGTGTCTTGTGCCTTGTTGTGTGTGGCATTTGACAATCATACGTTAGGCTATTTGTGTTCAATGGGTTTGGATTAGAATAATCAAATTAAGTTTTGGGATATCGGTCGAGAGCCATCGCAATGTTTTTACGTGGTTGAAAACTATTAGAACAACGCGTTTGACGTCGATTACATCAGTATATTGTCTTCACTTGGTTTTTACTAAGAAATAATCGAGCTCCATTTGAATTTTCATTATAATTTAATCTTTTCTTGAAGATTCATATCCTCTCATGTAAGATTGAGAGGAAGAGTTTATGCTAGTACATATGTAGCTTTTGGAGTATATTTCTTGGAGGGCCTAGGGTTATGTACTTGTAAAATGATGATCACGTTGATTCCATGATTATAAGTTCATACCACAGCAAACTAGACCCGAAAAAGTTTATACATACACGTTCTAAATTGGTCATTCAAATGATAATAGTGTTTATTGAATCAATTTTAAGTTTGGACGAGTCAAATCTTTAATATTACCAAAGTAGTGGCTCGAAAAGAGAACATAACATATTTACGATTAGATGTTCGCCTACAAGGAATGGACGAAGTGATCTAAATTTTCTTTTAGCTTAGTTTACAAGAGGAAACTATCTAAAAGGTGAGGCGGGACAAGATTAAATGTGACTCATTGGTGTTAAGTATCAAATTTTCAAAACTTGAGGACCAATAGCATATACTCCAAAATATCTCTTTTTCCTTTTATTTTTTTATTTTTGAGGCCCCCATTTCCTAAGATATTTCCATAATATCTCAATATCTCTTCGTTTGTTCGTTTGTAACACAGATATTTACTTTTGATATTTATTCAACATCTTGTGTAAATTACAATTCAACCTTATATATTTCTCTGTGTATTATAATTGTCTACAAAAACTTTAAATAACATTGGTGTGGAAAAATAATTTAAAAGAACACATTTATTAGTAATCCTAGTTTATAAATTTGTATTTGTTTATGTTAATTTTTTGCCATCATCTGTCCATATTAATCAATTTTACGAATTTTCGATACACTTTTTTGTACTTTCATTTTTAAATTTGAAAGGAGCCTTCGAAGAAATCATAAATGAAATTTTCGTTAAAGTGCAATCCAATTTGTGTCGATTGTAAATAAGACGATACAACACTTGCAACGAGCTCGTTTGAGGGTAGATTTCACCATAGAATTGAAGTATATCCATAGGATCTAATCTTGGCCACAAACGTTACTTTCTTGATTAGGGTTGCTCATACCAAAAAAGTATTACCTTATCTTGTAGAATGGCCAGAAAAGTTTAAGGCCGTAGATTTTGGATTACCCTAAAATTGAAATTTCATGATGCATGTGATTTACAAAATCCTTTTGAACTTTGCCCCTATTTGGTTTCGTTAGAAATTAGATTTTTAATAAATTTTAATATAAATTGATTTATAATTAAAATGTAGATAAAAATTGTGAATTCCATAAAATGTATATTGCTTAATATTGCTCTGATTATCATTACTATACTAATAATATTTGGTGTACAATGTTCATTGATAACATGTCATGTGGGCAGCATGTTGTCATTGGACAGTTTGGAAAACTGTCGATTTTTTCAATCGATGGTTTTTTGACACATCAGCATTGTCAATCAATATTGTCATCCAACATTGTACAAATAGTATAATTGTTACTACAAATAAGAATCTTGCTACGTGCACATAACTGTTTACATAAGAGATTATATAATTTCACATAAAAGACACTCTATCATTTGCCAATTTCAAATTTAGTCAACTTTTTCATCAAATATTGTCCCTCCACATCATTTTATGTAATCACTTATATACCATTTTTATATACAAGTAGTATAATCCTACAAATAATTACTTGGTTACAACATAATGTTTAGCGCCTGTTCGAGCCACATTTTTGGTGAAGAATGCATTTCGGAATAATATATTGATGAAGAATGTGTGGTTAAATATTTGAAATATTTAGTATACTAGATTTAATTATACAAGATACAATTATAAAAAAAATAATTGAAAATGGAGTAACGAGATAACGAACGTATATGATGATAATAACGACTGGCACGTCCATCTCGTTGAAATGCATGTGTCCAAAATAGAATGGCCATTTTTTTCTGAAGTTGGATAGTGTACAAATTTACACATATGGTGCCATAGAGAACAACTTAACGGACGAAACAAATAGACCCATGCTTTTAATGGAAAAGGCACGTCGTTGTCTCTCTCTTTCTAATTTGCAAATTTGTATAATCGCACATCAGTACGTGTTTCAGGCTTTTGATAGTAATATCTCGACCTATAAAGATTTTGTCATACAGCATGTTCCTGCGTTATATATAAATACTATAAGTTCGTATTGACACATGTCTTAGTCCTGATCACTCACTCAAAAATAAAATGAATCAATAATAGAGCAAATATTTTGTAAAGTACTTTGTCACGAGCTCCTCAAGAATTGTGAACACAAGACATTTCTCTATCTTAAATGTATTTTTACAAAAATCTTGCTATATAGACTATTCTCACATTCACGAATAATATAGACCATATCTTTTAGCATCTTTATTCTAATCGCAGGATATACTTTGTTTTTCAATTTTACATCCCAATTTTATGTGGCGGGAAGGCAAACGAACATTTGAGAGCTCTACGTCTTGATCCCCATCATGCTGCAAGAGTCAATAGTAAAATGATTATGTCTTGATCCCCATCACGCCGCAAGAGTCAATAGTAAAATGATTATGTCACGAAGTACTTTGCCCCCAGTTCAAAATTGTAAAATAAAATAAAAAATACATGTATGTATATATGGAGAGGAGAAAGTGAAACTTGGGACCATGTAAGTGTTTATGCCCTATCTTGAGGATGGGCAGGGATGATGAAGCCTTGTTTGGAGTATACAAGATTTTATAGAAAACAACACGTTTCTCCCAATTGTACATATTATTAATTTAAGTATCATAGTGCTCTTAACAAAATTGTTTAAAGAGAAATCTTAGTACGATACCACACATAATGTCACATGGTACTTCATCATTGAACTGTTATGAACGCAGTCAACTTTTTCATTCAATCACATCATGCTAACTAGCAATATGTTACT